ACTTTTTTTTCTTTTCTTGCACTATTCTTTTTTTATTGATTTATTTTTCTCTCTTTTCCCCTGATTATTGCTATTAGGTTGGGTTAGTTTTTATCTACGTGCTTAACTTTTATTCAAAAGAAGAAAAAGGCACACACACCTGCTCTCAAAATTCTTTGGAATAGAATGAATAGAATTTGTAAAATGCACATGAGACAGGGAGTAAACTTAACAGAATAGCAGAGTTGGAAGGGAACTTGGAGATTCTAGCCCAACCCAATACCATTTCAGATAAATGGCTGTCCAATCTCTTCTTTAACACCTTAGTACTTCTGATAGCAAGCAGTTCCACTGATTAATTGTTCTGTTATGAAATTTCTCATAATTTCGAGGTTGCCTCTCTCCTTGATTAGTTTCCACCCATTGTTTCTTTGTCTTGCCTTCTGATGTTTTGGAAAATAGGTTGACCCCTTCTTTTCTTCTTTGTGGCAACCCCTTAGATATTGGAACATTGCTATCATTTCTTTCCTGGTCCTTCTTTTCACTAGACAATTCCTGCAAATATTCTTCATATGTTTTAGCCTAAAGTCCCCTAATCATCTTTGTTGCTCTTCTTTGTACTCTTTCCAGAGTCTCCACGGCCTCCTCACCTTTTCTCCTGCAGGAATTCTCAAAGCTTTAGAAAACAAGATTTATTTGTGAAGGTGTTCCATGACTGCCCCTTTCTGGTAGCAAAAGGAATTGCATAAGGCAAAAATCGAAAGGAAGGTTTTTCTGCACTGCAGTCGTTTTATTTATATATATGTAATTTTTGTGAAATTTATCAAAATGTAAAATACAAGTGCAAATAAGTGGGGAAGGGAGGAAAGGGGAAGAGAATTGGGCAGGGTAAAGGGAAAAGCAGAAAAAACTCTATTCCAAGTCTTTTCAGTGCAGTTGAATAAAGATTAATAACATTGCAGCCTCAACTTTTCATCTTTGCATTCCTAGTATAGAGACATTTCTATACCAATAAACGAACGCAATCAGCAAATTCCAAAGTCGTTTTTTTCTTTCTCTCTCAAGCACAAAATCTAGAAGCAGAGGCACTGCAGTCTTAAATTGCTTGTTTCCCTTCAATAAACTGCTGAAAATGAAACTGGCTTATTCAATCTCTTTTCAATGCTTAGCCAGGGGTGGGATTCTACCGGTTTGGACTGGTTCTGGCAAACCGGATGTTAACATTACAGCTGGTTCACTGAACCGGTATTTCAAATGACTGGCCCTGCCCCTCCCAACTCTCCCCTCCCAGGAGTCTTCACACAACCCATTTTTGGTGGAGGTAAGTGCAGGGTCCACGTGGAAGTTCTGGAAGGGGGGAAAAATATTTCACAAGAAGAGTTCTCCACTCCTCTACTCGTTGTAGAATACCTTATGCCACCAGACTTGAAATTCTAGAACTAGAAAACCTTGAATTACGCCGTCTTCGGTCTGATTTAAGCATGGTATATAAAATCATACATTGCAATGTCCTACCTGTCAATGAATACTTCAGCTTCAACCGTAACAACACAAGAGCACACAATAGATACAAACTCAAGGTTAACCGCACCAAACTTGATTGCAGGAAATACGACTTCAGCAACAGAGTGGTCAATGTCTGGAATACTCTACCCGACTCTGTAGTTTTTTCCCCAAACCTCAAAAACTTTAACCTTAGACTGTCTACTATTGACCTCACCCCTTTCCTAAGAGGCCTGTAGTATAAGCGCACCAACGTGCCTACCGTCCCTGTCCTATTGTTTCTTTTATTTTTATTTTATTTTTCTTATATGTACCCATTTCATGTATTCATAACTATGTATACACTTATACTTATTATCTTGTAAACAATTGACAAATCAAATAAATAAAAAATAAATAAAATAAAACGGGCATTCCGGAAGTCTGGAAATGGGCCTGTTCCCAGCTTCTGGAGGGCCTCCAGAGGCCAGGGGAGACTGTTTTCGCCCTCTCAGAGGCCCAGGGGAGGCCTCTGGACCAGTGGTGGGATTCAATTTTTTTTACTACCTGTGCTGTGGGCGTGGCTTGGTGGGCTTGGCAGGGGGAGGATACTGTAAAATCTCCAGTCAGAGGTGTGGCACTTGCTGGTTCTCTGAACTACTTAAAATTTCTGCTATCGGTTCTCCAGAACTGGTCAGAACCTGCTGAATCCCACCTCTGGTCCTGGTCCTTTTTCCTGGCAGGTTCATTGTAAATAGAACATCTCTGCGCAGTGCGTACCCTTCAAGTCTCCTTATCAACCAGGCCAGAAATATGCTTTATTCATCCAGCTAAAGAGCAAACAGAAGGCTTGTCATACATTCCATCTCCTCCCATAAGGTTTTACAGTGAAGACAGCAGGGGCATCTTTGTGTGGCTCAAGGCAGAAGTCATAACTCAACAATCAAAGCTCTGTGGTTCGCTTAAGTGCAAGGCAAGTAAAAAAGGAACGAGGCACCCATTGCCACCCACCCCCTTTTTTAAAATTCTCATGTTTTTCTTTTTTTCAAACCCTGTCTATCTTATTGGTGTCCAGGAATCCCTATATAGCACTTCTCCCTGAAAAAAAAAAAATTGTGGAAGCCACCAGGAAATGCTTTAGGTTTAGCAGTTTCAAAGCCTTTATTGAGACTCAATAGAGAAAGAAAGAAAGAAAGAAAGAAAGAAAGAAAGAAAGAAAGAAAGAAAGAAAGAAAGAAAGAAAGAAAGAAAGAAGGAAGGAAGGAAGGAAGGAAGGAAGGAAGGAAGGAAGGAAGGAA